CTAGGCAGGGGGTTGGACTAGAAGATCTCCAAGGTCCCTTCCAACTCTGCTATTGTATTGTATTGTGTTGCATTGTCATTGCTGAATGACCTAGCAAATGCAGTTGTTGAATTTCTACTTTAAAGAGTTCATGTTCCAAAAGTAGATCACAGATTTAAATGACTTGGGAAAATACACTTCAATGTAAGTTATACCTTCTGTTAGTGGAAATGATTTTGAGGATAGAGCAAAAATCTGCCTGCAGCCTGATCAAAGTAAGAAAAAAAAGTAGCATACATCAGTTTAGATTCATGTTTTTTTTTTTTTTTTCCCCATATAAGCTTTTCATATGATCGGGAAATGGTACTCCTGGCTGAATTTACATATTGCACTGTAATTGCCTGGTGTAGATTTATTTATTTATTCAAATATTGGTATCACCCAATGCCGGAGTGATTCAGGAGAACTCACAATGTAAGAAAACAGAATATAAAGACAATATAATAAATACATGCATTATATATTAAATGCCTCTAACAAGGGGAGGGGCATCTTCCCCACCTCAAGGCCTGCAGAGACTTACAAGTCCTTAAGACCTTCTGGAATGCCAAGGTTGGATATGTCCAGATCTCAGGGAGGACCTGTTTACAGTGGGAAGGGCACCATTACAGAGAAATTGCCTTTCCTGGGTGAATACAGTTTATGTACCCAACAGAAAACAAGGTCAGTTTTGGAAAAGTTGGGGCCAAACACTTATTACTGTTCCCTTGGGAGAATGCCAAAGATGCTGTGAATGATCTAAATCGCTGGAAAACACTTGCTTCTCGATGTGCTCTGTATAAGAGATGATGATGATAATGATAACAACAATGTATTAGTTTTTAGGTACTGATCGAACAGATAATCCTCAGTTTATGACCAGAATTAAGCCCAGAATTTATGTTGTTAAACGAAAGGTTTCTTAAGTGAATTTTGCCCCATTTTATGTTCATTTTCTCTTTCTGCTCAGAACTTTGGTATTCCCTCTCGATTACATCCAAATATTTTTCTAGCCCACCTCAACTTTCCTTTTGCTCCGTAAGCGTGTTCTTTTCAGATTTTTTTTTAAAAGCTATTTTCAATTTCTTGAATTTATCCGGATATTTCTGCTTTCATTAATGCTTCAGTTAATCTTTTTTGACAAAGTGGGTGGACATTATAGTTTTCTTGTGTTCTATTGATCTCTTGTTCAGCTTAACCCTCTGGAAATCATTCATTTATTATTACTATTTTTTTAAAAAAAAGGGGTGTCATCTAAAGTTTTATTACTTGCCATATTATATCTATTGTCTCATTCCCTTTATTTATTACCACACTGTCTGTGAAATATATTCTTCCTGGTACAGAAGAAGATAGCAAAGACTTTTAAGACTGCAGTGCTACAATTAATTGCTTGATTTTTTTTTTATATGAACTGATGAACCCTAACTTTGTGTGATTACATTTAGTGGTATTTAAAAGTTGTTTTGAGATAATATGCATATGCATTCATGGAGACCAAGTTCTCCACTATGCCCTTACCGTACAAGAAAGCTGAAGATTAGTGGGGTGATAGTGTACTGAATTTCATTGTTTTGTGGAAATGAAACATTGAACAGAATCCCACGAAATGCAAGCAATTGAATGCTGAGTGCATGTATTTATTTATCAGCTGCAGCTACATGAATCCACACATAACTAAATTGAGAATAACAAGTGCACCTGTATATTATCTTCAGTGAACCATCATATCTGTCAAAATATGTCAAGTATTATTAGTTTACAAGACCCAGATTAAGCATACTAATAAAGACTATCAAACGGCAATGGAATCACGTAGTTTCCCCAAATGCTGACAATTAGCCAGAGAAGTTTGACTGTTAGTCTACATAGACTGGACAATGTTATTTTTTTTTTGCCTTTAAATGGAATAACAATAGCAAGAAGAACCAACAGAAGGGTATCCTTTTGGAGGAGGAGGAGGAGGAGGAGGAGGAGGAGGAGGAGGAGAGCACAGTGACAACAAAATATATCAAATACAGGGTTTTCATATATGCATTTTTAATGTAAAGTTGCACGGTATTAACTTGTAATAAAGATCATTTTAAAGTATTTTATTGTAATAATCCTTGCAGTACTATATGTCCGTAATGTCAAATAAACTTTTGGAGAGTCACTTATATATATAAATCTAGTGGTTCTCTTAGAGCACAAGCATTTCCTTTATGGGGTACCATAAGCACATACCCCATTGATTATACTCTTTTTTCAGCACATTAATTATTTTCCCTATGATTTGATTCTTATTACCCACTGGCCTTCTTTTCATTTTGAGTATCATTTTATAGCATAAAAGTGTGCTTAATTCCCTACTTATGTATANATAAATAAATAGATAAATAAATAGATAAATAAATAAATAGATAAATAAATAGATAAATAAACAAATAAATATGCAGCTGGTAGCATCTCGTTATTTGATTATATATTTATGCAAGAATTAAGAACATACTTTCACAATTTTGCAAAATCATACACGGGGACAATGCTCTATGATCCACCTATTTGCATTATAATTTGTAAATGCTCAGTGAAGGCACAAATATATATGCATTCCCTTTTTTTCCCATTACTTAGCGGTGTTTCCCAACCTTACTTAGTTGAAGTCCACATATCTTAAAGTTGCCAGGGTTAAGAAACACATGTCCTGGATATGTGAATGTTTCACCGAGGTCATAGACCTTAATGTCAACTTATGTTGTATGTTTCTGATAGTTATTATATTCATAGCAGCTGAGAACATAAAGCATTCATGGTATAAAAAATATACAGTATTCAAAAGGAATCCACAAGCAAAATATCAAAACCTGTTTCAATATAATGACAATATATTAACAACAGTGGGGGGAAAAAACAAGAAAACAACAACAAGAACAACAACAAACTACTACGGCAAAGAAGACCATGCTAGCTAAAAAGAGAGAGCTCTAGAGCAGGGGTATCAAAGTTGCGTCATCACGGCAGCATCACGTGATGTATCGGGACTTTTTTCCTCCTTCACTAAACCGGGCGGAGGCGGGACCAGCACATGACACATCCAGGCAGGAGTGACAAATTCATGTTGGAGAAATAGTATTTTCTGATTTTAGCTCTCCCTAGAAAATAGAAATGGGGCATCAGAAGCAAACCTCCTTCTCCCTCGGAAGGATTCCACTTGGTTAAAATTCAGATGGAAGTAGCAGTCCCTGGAGGTATATTGGCACTAAGCCAATATAAGGCTTTCCAAATCAATACTTCCCGTTTGAATGGCAGCAGAAATTTATTGAAAATAAATGCAGTAGATCCAAGATAGGAGGATCTATTATATCCACTCCCAAGTTTGGCTTACGTTCACTCGTTCACACACTCACAGCCCTATAAAACAGCTACACTCAAAGCAGGAGAACAGTTTTGGAAAGGATCTTCAAGGTCTTTTAATCCAACCCTCTGCTCAAGCAGACGGTCACTTTCAACCACGCACAAAGACACAACTGGTTCCTCTTTAGAACAGTGGTCACCAGCCGAGGTCATTGGACCACGGGTGGCCCGTGAGAAAATTTTGGTGGTCCGCAGAAAAAAAATATTTGCATTTTTTTATATTGCACTAAATACTCTTTCTTTAAAAAAAAATCACATTAGTGGTCTGCAGAATTTAAAATTATAAATTTAGTGGTCCCTGAGGTCTAAAACGTTGGTGACCCCTGCTTTAGAATACATGGAGACCCAGTGAATTTAAAACAACAGTAAAACTTTACAATCTTGTAGAGAGGTTTCCTGGCCTTGGGCCTCCTTCATCTTTAGGTATGGCAACTTCACCCTAAGCTCCCAGAACACAACTGTAATATGAGCTAGTCAGCAAATAGGTTGCTGCATTTTGGATCAACCCTCGTTTCTGAGTAATCTTTAGAGGCATCCCTATATTAAACACATTGCAGCAATCCAACCATGTAGCGATGATAATATGAATCACTATTATCAGGTCTTCCCGCTGTAGGAAAGATTACACCTGCCTTATCAACCAAACACAGACAATGTCAAGACAATGCAAAACAAAACTCCAGTCATATTAAAAGTTTTTTTTCCCCCACAAGTCTCTGCAATGCCCCAAAGGCAGACCCTGCCAAAATGAAAATATTAACTGAGCATGTTGGTGTAAACCAGTCCCAATTCCATAAGGCAGTGGTTCCCAAACTTGGCAACTTTAAGACTTGTGGACTTCAACTCCCAGAATTCTTCAGCCAGCAGAGCTGGCTGAAGAATTCTGGGAGTTAAAGTCCACAAGTCTTAAAGTTGCCAAGTTTGGGAACCATTGGTGTAAACCTAAGAAAACCCTGTAGATCAATTAAGGAGCCAAAGCTTCCATCGCAATCTGTACATGTTGCCAGTCATCAACCCTCTGGATTGGGAAGAAGCAATGATGAAATAGTGCATTATATAATCCATTTCCTTCCCAAACAAATTCTTCCCTGAGCTGCCTTGGAAACGGACGATTTATAGAGCCTCAGAGCGTTACAAAATGGCCTAGAGATAATGGTGGGGATGTGGGCAACGGGGCCAAAGCAGTTTGCCACTGCATTCCTGAGAGTTTCTCGGGGGTTCCTGTAGCCATAGGATTTCCTGGTGCTTTCTAATCCTCTTTCAAAGCATTGAACTAAGCATTGCCTCAGTCAGTAATTACTAAATAAATATACAGAGTGCAGGTGGTCCTTAACTATAACTATCCGTTTAGTGACCCTTCAAAGTTACAAAGGCACTGAAAAGGGTGACTTATGGCCATTACCTTTAAAGCCCTACATGGCCTAGGACCTGGATANTACAGAGAGGTCTTTACCTTATTGTCTGTTTTCAGGGTCGGGGTGAAGTAATGATAGAGCAATTGCTTTGAAGTCCATGCAGAATGCCATTTAAATCCTATCAATTATTTTCCCCTTTATATAGAAATAGAGAAAGGTGGCTGTGGTGATCCTGGAGTTCCATCTTATGGGAAGAGGACTGGAAGTAGTTTCCTTCATGGAGATTCTCTAACTTTTGAATGTCAGGCAGCATTTGAACTTATGGGAGAGAGAATGATCACATGTCAGCAGAACAATCAGTGGTCTGGGAATAAACCCAGCTGTGTTTGTAAGTTCTCATCTATTTTCTTATCACTGTATCGATTTCCCTCTGTAAGTTACAGTCATTTGCAGCAAAGCTTGGAATATCCCCTTCCCTTGGAATGCCGGCTGATGGGATATACTCATTTATTCTACTCTTTTATTATTCATGTTCTTTTCTCCTTTTACAAATAGAGTTTGCTTTAATTAAAATATCTTCTTAAATAAAATATGTGAGAATAAACTTGCCCTATAAGTAGGAGAGCAGGAAAAAATAATAATTTGGTTTGCATTGTAATTAAAGCTTGCCCACATTGTGTTGTATTTCAAGCCACAATCCAATTATGTAGAGATATTTGAATGTATTTCAGTTGTGTCATATTGCTTTACATTGGGGGGAAAAAAACAAACCTCCACATGTTAAACTTAATACACAGATGATCATCCTTACCTATAAGACATACATCAGAAAGTTTACGGAGAGAGGATTATATTCCACAATGGCTTTATTTTAAATTTAATGAAGTTGCATATATTATTGATTGAGAAATCACATCACATAATACAGACCGTAAGGTGAAAATTGGGTTGACTGCAATGCATTTTTGATAATCAATTTTTGTTATTTACATTAAACTTTGGGTGTTATTAGATGGTAACTTGTGCTTTTTCATAGAGAACTGAGTTATCAATCTTTATTGTTCTTGATTACCATGTTCAATAATAATTATAGCAGCATTACTAAGAAAACATGGAAAGACAGTTTTCACTCACCTGCCTATATTTTAAATTTTTTTGAGTGTCCCTGATTGTTAGTAATTTTTCTTATGCTGTTTGAGATGTAGTTCCTCACCTGCCCTCTGATCCTATGAACAATGTAGCTGTTTGACACAAGAAAAATGACATTAGCTGCTTCTTTTGCCCAGGATATAAACACTACTTGTACAAACAAAACTTTAATATATACAAGTAGTCCTTGACTTATGACCTCAACTAAGCCCAAAATTTCCATTGCTAAGAAATGTCAATTTGCCCCATTTTATGACTTTTCCTGCCACAGTTACTCACTGAATCACGGTTCCACCACAAAACTGCGCTCGACTAAACTGCGTCCGACTAAACCGCGTAGCTGACATCATCAACAGGGCGACAACAGCGCGGAGACAGAAGCACGCTGTAAACCCTAAACCTAAAATTAACCCCTAAACCTAACACCCCTAAACCTAATCCTAAATCTAATCCTAACCCTAACCCTAACCCTAACCCTAACCCTAAACCTAACCCTAAACCTAAACCTAACCCTAAA